CCCCAAAACCCCAAAACCCCAAAACCCCTTCATAAGAAAAGCTCACTTGTTTAGATAAATATATTAAGTTTAAAATAATATTTACATTTCTAATAAAATTTGGCTTAGATTAGGTGTAAATGCTCACTTCAATCAATGTAATTATTTCATGAAAGCCTTAAATTATGCATTTAGCTCTTCTGCTGTAACTTCGGTAAGGATGGGTCAAAATAGGCAAATTCATAAAGTCTTCCATCATCCTCAAACATAATTAATCCATAATAATAACAAAACGATAATAACATTATTCAGAGAAAAAATACAATCATTTCACAAAGATCTAATCAAAAAGTAACTTAATTAATGCATTAAAGATTGATTTAGATGAGTTAAATGAATAATGGATAGGTGATAAACTTAGTCCTTGAGAGTTAGAGATCAGCAAAAAAAGATGAAAAGGTTAAGGTCACTCATTGTGTGTCCCTAGATCAGAACAATTACAAGAATGAGTTAAATCTTATAAAGACGAAAAATACTCCTTAAATCCAGTAATAGTCTCATAGACAAGGAATCAATCCTCTTAATTCAGGTATTAACTCTTAAGGAACACACTTAAATTACCAAATGCCATATTTTAACTCGAGATAGATAAGTAAGGATGTCACTACAACTTCAGTATTGAATGAGAAAAAGTAATAAATGAGTGTAATGGATAAATATAAATTGGAGAGGTAAATGATCGAAGATGTTCTAGATCAACAATAAAATCACTACCCTAAACACTAAGAATCTTATATGAAGTATTCCTAAAATCCTGAAATAAAGATTGATCATTTACCAATGGAAAACTTTTTAAGAGTGAAATCAAAATGCTCAATATCCGAGTCAGAAGCAATTAATTAGAAAAACAAGGCTATTGACGATATCCTCCTATCACCAAAGCTTCAAAGTAAAGATGTTACGATTAAGACGAGTAATTACCATGATAGAGACAAGTTATCCTAAAATTAGGCTAGTTATGGCGTCAATTAAAAGTATGGCTAGCTAATTACAGAATGCAATTAAAATCCAGGAGCTTTAATTAATTCTAATAAAGAGAAGTTTAATGATAAATCACCTGCAGATAATAGTTAGCTTGAATAAGTCTCGAATTGGAATCTACTAGATAATTCACCAGTCCAAATAAATCTACAAGGGAAATTAGAGAACTAATAAATAGTTAATTTTAGATCATAATAGCCCGATAAATTTACAAAAGTAAACCTTGTAAAAAACAGTCTGATGAAAAATATATTTTGATCTATATCTACCCTTTCAAGCGCATGATCAAATAGATGCCTTTATCTAAAATTAAAACATACTAGCGTCAATAGCACTCATAATTATTGAACTTGTTTATAATTACAATCAAACTAACTAAATAATATCCCAACAATTATAATCTTTCAACTAATTTTGTCTATTATAAAGTCGCGGGGTTTTGGGGTTTTGGGGTTTTGGGGTTTTGGG